AATTTCTATGGTCACATATATAGGTCATCAAGAGATAATTTACAAGGTCAGAAACCTGATAACAATGAACCTGCACAAGTAAATCAGTTTCTTCCTCCTCCACCCTCATCAAAAAGGCCAGTCACAACAAATGCAGGAGTGGTTGATTATCTTAGTGGTGATGTCTTCAAATCCAGTGATCCCCCTGAAACAAGAGAATCTCTGTCTTCTGCCCCAACTCGTTCATATACAAACTCTTCTCCTCCACTAATTCCAACTTTATCTCCCTCCTCACCTCCTTCCCATTCAGTTGGCTCTGTCTCTTCACCCATGGTTGCTGGACAGCCTGTGTATGATGAACCATCTCCCTTACGCAAATCTGCTGAGCAGATGTCTCCTCCTCCCTGGGAAAATCCTTCTACAGGAAATCTTCCCCCACCTCGTTCAAGGTACAACCAGAGACAGCAATTCCTCAAGAAGAAAACAGGTTATTCAGGTGGTAATTCTCATTCAAGCAGTGGATCCGGGTCCTCCTATGACAGCTTAGTGGGGCAGACTCAAAATCTCTCCCTTAATCCAGGTACCCCTTCCAAACAAGCAAAACCAGAGGATGCTCTCTTCAAAGACCTGGTTGATTTTGCAAAATCTAAGTCATCTTCATCATCCAATCCCAATAGATCATTTTGACTGTCTTGAGTTTGGATTTGGGTAGTAGAGCTTGAGAGCAGTAATTCTAGGTTTTCTTTCCATCAGATCATGAGATTCTCTGTTGTTAAATAAACATGGATGTAATTAGTGGTTTATGGTGTCTATGTGCTACTTTTGGATTGATTTTGAGGTGAACTGCTCAGTGGATATATTCATCTGCCGACCATACATTATTCATAAATGGTTGTATTATATTCTCCATTCATTTTTAGCTTCTCTTTGTGGAAAAAAATTATTTTCCCCCAATTTATTTATTCAAAAAATTATTTCACAATTTTAATTATACCAAACTGTAAAATACTATACTCTTATTTATTTGTTCCGACTGCAAAGCATTAGACTCTTTATTGATTTGTTTGTAATTTGAGAAGAGAGGACATACATCTTTTAACATTTCTATATATCCCACAAGGATGTAAAACTTTTTTTTTTAAATAACTCTTACAACGAGGAGGCGAGGGTGTTTCTCATTCTCTCGTTTATAAACGTTAAACATGTTGCTTTCTGGCCAATGTGTGAGGCAGGCAAAGATATAGAACCAGAGTTAAGAATCCCAAATTCTGAGTCGAATAATACACAACTCTTGGAGAGTCAAATCAGAAGCAAATATTTTTGCCACTCAAATTCTCGAGCAACTGCAACACAGACATACAAAATATGATACAACATTTATCATATTCAATTATCTTGCGCAAATTTTAGAATCCCATTGTGGTAAAAGGTGGAAGACCTCTCTCAGGATTCGGATAGAGAGCTGGCATTGCAGTAACCCGAGGTGTATCTTTTCACTAATTTCAAAACAGAACAATTTTATGAGTCGAAAACATTGTTGGTTCTCCCTGTGTCTTCATTTTTGCACTACGTATTTGAACCATATTGCCGTTTTTTAACTATGACGGTTTACATTGGAAATTTCTCAGAACCATGTAGAATTCAAATTTTGGACTTTCTCCTACAAACCTCTTTCCTTGTGAGCTTCTTCTTCTTCTTCTTCTTCTTTATTTTTTTTCTGGGGTGTTTCACCTGTCTTGGTCATGTGTCTTCCTAGTTGATGCAGTTGAAAGAAGTAAACATAGCTTGAACGATGGACTTTCCTATCTGCCTTTTGGAAATCTTCAACTCGCTCTCTAAATTCCTCCCTGATGAGCAGAAAACAAATAATCCTACAAATAATAATAAGTAGTGTGCACAAGTGAAAAATACACCAAGCATTTCATAACAGAAAAGTGTTACCAAAGTTGAAAAAGTCGTGTTTTCTATGGAATAATGCATAACATACCTAAGGAAATGATTGGGAGAGCTTCCAACAGCCTAGGAATTGCTACTCGTCCATTTTCGGATGGACATATTGATGATTAAACTCATAGCCTGCCCTAGCATGGCGGCAAACCAGCAAGCCCTCCCAACATGGATAAAATGAGGTTATACTCCTGGAGTCATGCTTCCAAAATGAAATCATACAAATGGACAGATTCTCCAGCAATGCAATTTGAGACTTCTGCTTTCCTTTATGAGATCATTCCATCAAACCAGAAATGTACACAAGAAGAAATACAAACAACATTGAAGCTTTAACTGCCTCCATCACCTCAAAGGGCTAACAACCCAACCAGTTATTGGATGTTTCCTGCGGACTCTAAGCTTCTTATAAGGGCCGCTTTGAAGCCGTTCAAGCACTGCATATGTAATTGAATCAGGCGTTAGGCCCTGCTGCTTAAGTTTTGCATAGAGATCAACTGCCTCTGCAGTTCTCCCACTCCTCTCAAGACAGTCAAGTAAGATGTTGTAAGTCACAATGTTAGGGTAGCAGCCTTCAGCAAGCATTTCGTCAAATAATCTACAAGCCATTTCAACTTTACCAGTTTTTCCAAAGCACTCAATAAGTGTGCTGTATGTTACAACGTCTGGATTTAATCCTTTTTCTCGCATCTCCTTAAATCTCATGTGAGCTTCATCAAGGTTGCCATTCTTACCAAGGCAGTTGATCAGAGAATTATAAGAGATAATATCAGGTTTATGATCACTGCTTTCAAGTTCTTCAAAAATTTTAACAGCATCTGCAACTTTCCCTATCCTTCCAAAGCTTGAGATCAGAATATTGTACGTAAATAGGTCTGGTGAAGGGCCACGTTCTTTCATCTTTTCATAAAGATCATGTTGATGGGGTATCTGCTTTAACTTGCCAAGTGCAGAAAAAACCACGTTATACATCATGGTATCAGTAGCTATTCCCTTCTCATGAATCTTACTCAGCAAGTCCATGGCCTCTGTTGTCTTGCCTGCACTGCACAGGCTTTCTAGCATTGACATGTAAGCATCCTTGTCTCCCTTATCGTGGTAGCTCCACATGTTGCAAAATAACCTGTGAGCTTCACTTGCATGACCCAACTTACTTAGCGTCCTCACAAGGTATGCGTATATTGACTTAGTCATGTACTTCTTTGATAATTCTATAACTTCATCTAGCTTACTGAGTTGCCCTTCTGCAACTAGAACGTTTAGAATGACACTGTGTGTAAATTCATTGGGCCGACAATCTTTCTCCACCATTTTAGAGAAGAGATGAATTACTTTGTCAACCATGTGGCCATTGGCAAGTGCCTGGATCATAGTATTATAGGCAATTAAATTAGGGGCATCAACTTTTGTTATCATTTCATCAAACATTGCAATTGATTCATCACATCTACCAATTTTTCCACTCATTCTGATCATGATTGTGTAGGTATACTCATCAGGCTCGCAATGCTTACGCTTCATGTCTTCAAAAATCCTGTAAACCTGATCAACCTGACAAATGAGGCACAGATCAAATAATCAAGACCCATGAGAATGAACCTTCAGTAAGAAATCAGCAAGCAAAGGAAACAAATGTTACTTCATTGATAAATCTACTCATAACATAGCCACTTAATTAAGTTTTTCAAATCATCAGATTGTTAACTATTTTCAAAATTCGCTATGGAGGGTCCTAACTATAATCTTCACTCAATCAAATTAAACCATAAATTTGAATGCTGAAATTTGATCACCACAACAATCCTAAGACTACACCAAGTATTTATTTACAAGTTTGTACAAATAAAACCAGACCATCACAATCAAAACCCACATACAGATTCTCCAAAAATCATAAATTAACACATGATCATAATAAAAAGCATACCTTTTCGTCCTTTGCCAAAGCATCCAACAACATGTTATATGCAAAGATATCCAATTTGTAACCCTTCCTCCTCATCTCCAGATACAAAGAAAACGCCTTGCCAGAGTCATGTGACCTTAAGAAGGCTTGAAGCAGACACTTGTAAGTGTAAGCATTCATCTTCAAGTCCCATTTCTCCACCAAGTCAATGCACATATCCAAGTCTTCTGTGGCCCCAAAAAACCCAATAAGGATATTCACAGTAGAGATAGTTCCACGTATATTGGAGCTCTTCATTTCAGCTAGGACGGAATGGACTAGATGGGAACGATCTGGAAGTAAGGACTTGGAGAGGATAAGAAGAAGGCGGGAGTATGTGAAGGCGTCGTGGCGGAAATTGGGGAAAATGGTGGGACAAAGGCGGAAAAATTTGACGGCAAGGGTGGGAGAGTTGAGGGATTTAAGAATGAGGGAAACCTCCGCATGGGTGAGAGATGGGGAGATGGAGGAGAGATATTGAGAGAGGTCATGGAAGGGGTCTGAAGACGGTGACTTGATGCGATGGGATTGGGTGAGGATTTGGGTAGCCTTGCAAATGAGGTGGTGGCGAGGGATGGGGTATCCGCGGGGGTCGTTCGGAAGCGGAGGAGGAAGGGAGACCTCCGCAGAGAGAGAACGGCCACCTGGAGAGGTTGAGGTTATTTTGGCAGTGTATTTTGTAGCATAGTAGCGGCTGTGAGCGCTCCTGAGGAGGCGCAGGTGGCGGTTCTGGTTGTGTCTCATGCTGGCGGCGGCAGCTGAGCTCCGTTGGCTGTACCCAGTTGGAGCGACTGCTTGTCTTCGTTTATCACCACCATAAACAAACGACGACTTTAGGTTGGGCCTAGGGCCAGGATAAAGTTTGGTCTGGGCTGTCTAAGCTACAAAGTCCAGTTTGCCTGTTTTTTTAAGCATTTAGGGTAAAATAACGAGTCCCTTATTTTGTTCCATTAATAATAATAGTAATAATAATAAAAGAGTCCTTGTTTTATAGTTTAGCCTAACTACATTGATTATGAAATATGGATGGTTGGAGAGGGGGAGAACCCTTAATATTGGAGGGGTCACTTCTCATCCAATGGTTATTATTTTGTGCAATCAATTTCTTGTATAATAAATCAAGATTTTGAGATTCATTTAATATTAACTTAAATTAACAAATTTATATTACCAGCGATGTAAATAATTCAGTAATAATTTTTTTTCGATGAAAGTAAGACATTTTGAGTTTAAGTTACATAGTATGAGAGTGAGATTTATTAAGGAATGAGAGAAAGTTACATGCAACCCAAAATCCAAAAAAAGAAATTTATGCTTAAATGCCAACCTAAATAGATTAAAAGTAATCTTCTTTTTAGTAAAAATAAGAGGTCTAGAATTCATATGAGGGTGAGGTAAGTTAATGGATATGAAAAGGTTGTTTCTATTGTGCACTCCAAGATCAAAGAAAAAAAATTATACTCAAACAAATAGTTCATACCTCTTTCATTTTTGTAGAAGCACAAGATGATATATTGATATGCATGACGTGGACATTGGGGCAAAAGGGCATACAGCTTTAGCATAAAGAAGTAAAAGGGGTAGGACATGGGGGCATAGGAACTTGGACAACTCCTTCAAGCATATGAGTGACCTTTCTCATGGAAGGTCTTAAAGAGGGATCTTCTTGTATGCACCAAATTGCCACCATCACTAGCCTTTCCACCTTTGTCATGTCATTTATCGCCTCCTCATCATTCTCCACTACTTTATCCAATCTTCTCTCTTTATAGCAGTCATAGACCCAATCTGTTAGTATCGCTTCCTCCTCATTTTCTCGTTCTTCTTCATAGTTTTTCCTGCAACAAATGATCTCCAGTAGCATCACCCCATAACTATAAACATCAACCTTTGTTGTAATTGGCATGTTGCGGAACCATTCTGCAGCAACATATCCCTTTGTACCTCTGATTGCTGTTGTGGTGCGAGTTTGGTTGCTCATAAGAAGCTTTGCCAATCCAAAGTCTGAGATTCTTGGAATGAATGAGTCATCCAAGAGTATGTTTTGAGGCTTAATGTCGCAGTGGATAATGGGTATGCTGCACTCCTCATGCAAATACACTAGCCCTCTTGCAATCTCAAATGCCATTTGAGTGCGACTCTTCCATTTAGGTCTACAGTCTCCATACAAGAGACTAGCTAGTGTTCAATTGCTCATGAACTCATATACCAAAAGCTTGTGCGGCCCTTCCTCACAGAATCCAATCAATCTGACCAAATTCTTGTGAAGAGTTTTGGCAATTGCATTCACCTCTGTTTTGAATTCCTTCTCACCTTCTTGCGTTATCTTGTCTAATTTTTTCACAGCGATGCAAATTGTTGAATGAGGAGGGTGCAAAACACCTTTATACACAATTCCAAAAGAACCTCTCCCGAGTTCTTCCTTGAACCCGTCTGTAGCTTCCTCAAGATCTTGGTAAGTAAAAGACTGTAGATTACTTTCCAAGAGGCTTGACATTTGACTCGGTTTCTGTTTCTTGTTGCAAGACCAGATAGCTAGTATAGAGATTGCAATTATGAGCAGGAAATTGATAAATGCTGAGCCACCTAAAAGAAATGATCTCACCAGAATTGGAGTTGATTGATCTTTCTTCTGCAGTTGAAGCACTCTAGATCCTTTAGGATTCAGAAAATTAGAAGCATTAGATCTTGCTACCTTTATGAATGCTTTGCCATTG